CCGCCTCACCTTGCGTTGCCTTGTCGGCCCTCCGCCTCACCTTGCGTTGCCTTGTCGGCTGTCTCCCTCCCCCGGTGGCTTTGCTGAGCCAAATGTCTCCCTCCCCCGGTGGCTTTTCGTTTCCATGTTTTGTACCCACTCTCAGCTTTTTCCTTTTCATTGCTGCGTTAGGATGTGAGAATGTGTGAGCGCGAGTGAGTGAGCATGTTGGGTTATGTAACCATCCTGTGTGTGTGTGTGTGCGCGTGTGTGCGCGCGCGTGTGTGTAAGTGATGTGGTGATGTGTTCGTGATGTGGTGATGTGCGTGCGTTTACTTTCAAGTGTGCATTAAACCTTTTGCTTCTTCCCCGATGACCACATCAAATCATTACCTATCCTAGTCGTTTACTGTTGTACCTCGATGTTGTTTGCAGCAACTGGGCTCACTTGCATGTGACGACAATGACACACACGCACACACACACACACACACACACACACACACACATAGCGGCGAGACTAAGAACGACACGAGAAGCAGTCCTACGCAATCACTCTTCTTCGCACAGCACCGATCAGCGCCCCCTCTGCAGCTGCTCCTGTATGCATGCACACATATCATCACACCGCGTCCTCGTTGTAGAGGGACCAGAGGTGCACAACACAGTCCTTACCGCCACTCGCCAGCAGCACGCCACCGGGCGGGTGCGAAGGGTCAATGAGCGACAGCGTCACGTGCTTTAGCGGTGCACTGTGGGCAACGCATAGTGCGCTGTCGACGTGTTGGTCCAGCACGGCAAGAGCACGCCCCTTGCGCGAGTACACGCGCACTTTGTTGTCACTGCACGCAGCGGCGAACAGCCGCGCAGGCGCATCCCGCACACTGCGTGTGTGTGTGTTTGTGTGTGTATGTGTTTGTGTGTGTGTGTGTGTGTGTGTGTGTGTGTGTGTGTGTGTGTGTGTGTGTGTGTGTGTGTGTGTGTGTGTGTGTGTGTGTGTGTGTGTGGGAACGAGGGTTAGAGAGCGGGACAAACGAGTTTGTTGCTTGGTACTTGACCATGTGAGCGTGATCGCAACTCAGGTAGGCGGCAGCGGGATTGACAGCAATCACGACCACGACGACGACCAGCACCACAACCACCACCGCCACTTGCAGACCTGATTGCGTTGGTGAGGCCTTCAGGCAGCGAGAGCTCCTTCTTCACAGTCATGGTCCAGTCCGATGGAACGGCCACCACGAACAGTCTATCAAAGCGCAGCAGTCACACAGGCGTCAACACTTTGCCGACCGCAAAGGTAGGCGCCATGTCATACAGAGCGGGGTACACAGCGAGCAACACAGCAAGTTGCATACACGCACACACATACAGACACACACACACACACACACACACACACACACACACACACACACACACACACACACACCGAACCTACTTTGACTCTGCGTTGCCACAGAGGATGCGTCCTTGCTGGTAGGCGACGGAGACGACGGGAACAGGTGTTGGCGTCACTTCCACCGTGGAGAGCAGCTCATGCTGCAGCCCAGCAAACCACGCCTCCCTATCCCCGACCGATGGTGGCCGCTTATCACCCTCATCGTCACCGTTGCCACCGTGTTGGTTGTGCTGCATGCGCCACAGCCGAAGCTGCCCACTCTCGTGTGCTGTGAGCGCGACGAAGCCCGAGCACTTGCTTTCGCAACTGCCACTACCAGTGTGACTGTCGCTGTTACTACTACTCGCACATTCGTCACTGTGACTGGTGCCAGTGGTGTCGTTATCGGCGGCGAACAGCGCCACAGCCATGAGCTGCCCCTGGTCTGGCACGGCAATCTTCATCGTCTCCCACGTCCACGTGTCCACAAGCAGCAAGGTCTCGTTGTCTGCGTCTGACAGTGCAAGCACAGCCCTCGCCCCGCCGCGGTGGTGCCCATCCGCATCATCATGTACCCGCAGGGACACACTGGCCATGCGGCAGAAGTTGATGCCACCAAGCTCCTTCTTCACCTCCAAGAAGGGAATCACAATACCGCCAAACTGCTCGTCATCGTCGGCATCGTCGTCACCACTGCCATCAGCCTTTGTGGCGGCTGGTGAAGGTGCGGGGGTTGCATGGCCGACAAACGCCGTCACGTTCCACACCTGCAGCAGCTGATCCCTTCCCCACGACGCCACGAGTAGCTGTCCCTCTGCGTTCTAACACAAACCAGAACAACGTGTGTGAGGGTGGTGGTGAATGTATGAGCGTGGCGTGTGTATGTGTGTACGCGTGTGTGTGTATGAGGGTGGCGTGTGGTGCGAGAATGACTGCACGACCCACAGAAGAACCATGTAATACACCCCACACCCACATACACAACTACCCCCCCCCCCAACATCCATATATGTGCACTTACAGGGAATGCCTGCAGGCCAAGGATGGCACCGCGGTGACAGCGCATTTGCCATGCACACTTGCGTTCCTTGAGGTCCCACAACAGAAGCATGCCATCCTCGCACCTGACCAAGGAGGACATGATGCCATGCGATGAGAGGGATGGTGAGGCGTGGGAGTGGGCGGGGGGGGGAGGGTAGAGGAGGCTAAGAGGAATCAGGCACAAACATAGACACAGACAGACAGACAGACAGACAGACAGACGGACGGACACACATACAGACACACAGACAGGCAGACAGACATACAGACGCACAGACACAGACGCAGACACACGCACACAGACACAGACGCAGACACACGCACACAGACACACAGACACAGACGCAGACACACGCACACAGACACACGCACACACACACACACACACAGACACGCACACAGACACGCACCCAGTGACGAGGCAGTCCCTGCGAGTGCCTTGGACAAAGACACACGAGTGCACCGGTGCTTCAAACCCAAGAAGGGAGAACCACGGCAAACTGCTTGCCTCATCCATCCTCCTCCACTATTTGATGCTGCTGCTTCTGATGCTGCTGCTTCTGTGCATCCACAACCCAGCACCACCATCCATCAAAAGCTCAACGTTAGCAGTGAGTGACGACGCTCCGCGCTCCTCCTTGTTGCTTGCTTGCCTCAAATCAATCGCACCTTTTTTTTATTATTGTGAGCCGATTTTTCACCTTCCCTTTAACAAATTATCCGCACGGTGAAGCGCTTCCCACACAACAGCCACGCTGCTGTGTGCTGTGTGCTGTTTGTTGCAGGCAGAAAAACCACACACAAAAACAAAACACCCACCACACCCTTCTTCTTGCTGGCTGAGTGAGTTTGGATGGCGTGTCTGCGCTATCGCCATCTTGCTGACATTGTATGGGGGGGGGGATTGTTGCGCTGTTTGTGACCGCCGCTCGCCTGCCGCCTTGGACGCACACACACACACACAAGTGCAACCTCACACATCATCCATCCGTCTCCGTCTGTGTGCTTTTGTTCTTGAAACGCGTCGACCATCGACCAACAACCACAACAACAACCCACCACAGGTTTTGCCACGCCCTTTTGGCACAGCAGCAAAACGGCTTCTTCGCGTCTTCTGTGTGGTTGAAGGCCAATTACCCACACGCACACCAGAACGTGTGTGCCTGTGTATACTGACCTGACCTTCCTCTTCCTCTTCTGACAAGTGGTTCTGAGGCGCCACTGTTACCCCTCGTTTCATCTACACTCAGCGACGGCACATCCCAAACTTTCACACATCATTTGTTTGTAACGACCCACGCAAACAACTCACAAGACAAACAGCAGCGCAGCACAAGGAGGCCGCACGCGCCTGCTCGCGCACTGCCAGAAAACACTCACCGGCGAGAAGCATCGCCGTCCGTGTTGATGGCGCGCCCACTTGGCCGGGCACTCGCCCCCAGCCCCCGCCGCCGCCGCCACCCATCACCGGCGTGCGCCGGGATGCTTGTGACCGCGGGGCTGCTGCTCGCATCCTTGTTACTCGGAGTGGCGGTGGCGCAGAACACACCGCCCACCTTCCAGGGCACCCTCTTTGGTGACCTGTACATCTTCAGCGTTCCCGAAACCGACGACCCAACACCAACCGTTGGCACCGTCACTGCAACAGACCCCGATGCGGGGCAGACCCTCCAGTACACGCTGTCTGGGAGTGGCTCTGCCGCGTTCAAAATCGACCGTAACACGGGTGTGGTCACGTCGCGCCTTCCGCTCGACGCAGACTTTGGCACCACCACCTACGACGACATCACCGTGTCTGTCTCAGATGGCGTGGACTCGACCACGGGGCGCATCCTCATCGCCATCACGGACGTCAACGACAACTCGCCCGTCTTCAACCAGGACCTGTACACGATGAAGGTGGCTGAGGACCTCGAGGCGGACGTGACGTTTGTGTCTGTTAAGGCGGTGGACGTCGACGCCTCGACGCAGAACAGCCGCGTGACGTACTTCATCATTGGCGGTGACCCGGATGGCATCTTCCAGATTGCCACCGTCAGCGGTGAGGGCAGGGTCTCTGTTGCCACGCAGCTTGACTACGAACGCAACAGGACGCACACGCTTGTGATTGAGGCACGGGACGGTGGCACGCCGACCCGCACAGGCAACACCACCCTCTTCATCGAAGTCACCGACGTCAACGACAACAGCCCACAGTTTACCAAGGCATCTTACACAGCCAAGTACGTTGATGTGTGATTTGTGTGTTGTGTGTGCGCGCGTGTGTTGTGTGTGTTGTGTGTTGCATGCGGACTCTGCATGCATATCGAGGCGTCGTGACACGTGAACTGTAAGCAAGCACTTGTCTCTCTCTCTCTCTCACACACACACACACACACACACACACACACACACACACACACACACACACACACACACACGTGTGGCCTGCAGTGTGATTGAGAACCTCGATGCGGGCACGTCTGTGCTTGTTGTTGAGGCGGATGATCTTGACAACGGCTTGAACGGCGAGGTGCGCTATTCGCTGGTCGGCAGCGGCTTCCCCTTTGTCATTGGCGCCGCAACGGGCCAGATCACCACCACCGCCTCCCTCGACCGCGAGCAACAGCCGGTGCGTGCTGCTGTGCGTGTGCGCGTGTGTGAGTGTGCGCGTGTGTGAGTGTGCGAGTGTGCAGTTTTGTGTCGTTTACGTGACGCTGCCTGTGCTTACCGGCATCTGCATTTGTGCTTCTTTGTCGTCTCATTTTCCTCACCGCACAAGCACCCGTTCTTCTCACACGCGTTTCTCTCCCCTCCCACATCCCAAATCCTTTCCTCCTTTCCCCCCTGCCTACCCCACTCCCAATACCACACGTGGCGCAGTCGTGGACGCTGACGGTGGAGGCGCGCGATCGGGGCGTCCCGTCGCTCTCTGCGACTGTGCAGGTCGTCATCGGCGTCACAGACGTCAACGACCACGTGCCGCAGTTCTTCAACCTGCCCTACGCGTGCAGCATCAACGGAGAAACAGGCCCTCGGGCCAGCTGTGCCTGACTGCGGTGGCGAGCGACGCGAACAGCACAGGCAACGCCGTGCGCTTCTC